GAGAGAGAGAGAGAGAGAGAGAGAGAGAGAGAGAGAGAGAGAGAGAGAGAGATCATGGATGCGTGTTTTGCGAACAATCAGGATAAGAATCAACCCCGCCAGCACACGGGGGTGGGGGCAGCCGCCGCTCAACCTACATCGACGTGGGTGGCCTTGTACCCAAAAGAGGATTTGAACAGGGGGAGTTGTAAGTAAAAAGATTAAAAATGATTTGATTTTTTCTTGTTTTTTTTTTCGCTTTTGTGCTCTGATATCTTTGTGACGATGTATATATGTATACATATTATATGCTGTATAATATGATATATTTTATATGTATATATTATACAGAAATGCACTGTCGTAGTCGTCTGTCAAGATATTGATAGATATACATGCACATTTACGCATATATGGTCGCCCATCCACATTATACACATTACAATGATTACATCTACATACATATATATCTATGTCACTGATGTCAACGTATATCTGTTTGACGATATATACATACATGTACACATACACATACACATACACATACATATACATATGCGTACAGATTACGTATAGACTTGCAATGATTTGTGACATCATTTGTCTATATTTATTCATATCCAAAACGTATACTAACTGGTCAGTGAAAAGATCCTCAGAGACTCCACGTAAAGTCTCTGAGGTTCCTTTTACTGACAAATAAAAATGTGCTTCTTTTTTTTTTATATACAAAAAGTCGAGATAAAAAATGTGCTTTCATTTCCGGCGAATTGATCTCTAATTTAATTCTATATAAATTTAATTACTTTTTAAATTCTAATCTTATCAGCTGATGACAATCCGGCCGAATAAGCTGTACTGACCAAACATTTTGTCCTATTTAACGATCATTTCCCCCCCCCCTTTTTTTTTTTTTTTCGAAGCAACTTTGGTGTTTCATCAACGGGCTGTATAAATCGTCAAACAGATCTGCCCGTTAAACCGTAGGCAGAGAGGGAGAAGAGGACAAGAAACGAGTGGCTGTGACAAACTGTTTCGTCGGAGTTTCACCGACTGACTGATCAGGAGGCTGAACCCTATATATATGTATATATGTATATATGTATATATGTATATATATATATAGTCTGGTTTGATTTCGTCACAGACTCACAGGTACCTTGAGGGCAGTGGTTGGTGGTCCCCACCACCTCAGAGGGGTATCAGTTGTCGGGCAGTCGTTGATGCTTTAACCACAACCGGGGTCAAGGTGGATTATCACTTAGTGTAATCAGTTAGGTAGGGGATTTTTTCTGCAGACTGTTTATGAGGGTTCAGAAGTCAGTTAATAGGGGATTCTGCAGACTGTTTATGAGGGTTCAGCCTCCTGCTGATTGATGACTGGGCAGGTGAAACTCCGACGAAACAGTTTGTCACAGCCCCTCGTTTCTTGTCCTCTTCACCCTCTTGTCCCTCTCTGCCTGCCTATGGTTTACCGTAGGCAGTTCTGTTTGACAATATATATTTTTCTGCCGCATTTATCTGTCCAGATATCTATAGATCTATATGCACATTTACGCATATACATATTTATGTATAATATATATATGTCGTATATATATATATATACATATATATATACATATATATATATGCCGACTATAGCCTTGCCATCTCTAATGAGGTTGAGGGATCGAAACCCTTTGTCCGCTCGTCAGGATGGGATTGCACCCCATGATGTTGATAAGGTCACGCTTTCTTCGATTAATTTATTCCTCCCCCCCCCCCCCCCCCCCTCCTCCCCTCTCAGTGCCCCCCCTTCAGCCCCTTCGCCTCCCCCCCCTCTCCTCACACAAAAAAAAATCGTTCCTGCAGTCGAGAAATAAGTTAAATATTGGGGGGCAAAAAAAGAAGAAGAGATAGGTCGTGTGTGCTTTTGCGTCCCAAAAAAAAGAACAAGAAAAAAAAAAGAACAAAAAAAAAAGAACAAGAAAAAAAAAAGAACAAGAAAAGAAAAAGAAAAAAAAGAAAAAAAAGAAAAAAGGAAATCTCTCAGTCCGATGTTCCGCAACCGGCCGGGGCCAAGTCCCACAAGCAGCGTTGAGCGACCTCAACGCCTGAATCTGGACGCTTCTGCGGAGATGTGCAGAAATGTTGTTGAGTTTCCTGAACTGCACGTCTCCACAAACACGTCCAGATTCAGGCGTTGAGGTAGCTCAACGCTGTTAGTGGGACTTGGCCCCCGGCCTCAGCTATGTCATGCTCGATCGTCTCCTCCCCTACGCTCCACTCCTCTACAGGCCTTTTTTTTTTTTGGCCCTTTTTTTTTTTTTTTTTTTTTTCCGAGAACAGGCTTCGATCTATTCGTCGGGAGGAACACGTGCTCGGAAATGGGGCCCGCATCCCGTTTGAAGTTGAATAAAAAAGTGTTCAGGAAAGAAATATAAATAAAAAGTTAAAACAAAAAATAGAAAAAGACTTTCGAGGAGCTTTTTTCAATTCCGAGTTTTTTTCATATATCTGGCTAGGCCACCAGAGCGGCCTGTGTCCACTTGCTCGGCCAGGCCAAAAAGATATTAAAAAATGGAAAAAAAAATTATTTTAAATTTGGTAACGAATTTCGATGTGACCCTGAGGCAAAGGTTGTTCAGTTTATTTGTCTGCATAACATGGTTTATTTTCGGTTTTTTTTTTTTTTTTTTTT